GAGCGGGGCAGGAGCGAACGGCGGCGGGCGCGGGAGGCCGAGCGGGACGGCCCGCAGCTCCGGTTCGCTTCCTTCACCCTCGGCCGGCGGCGGAGCCCCGGGAGAGCCCTTTCAGGCGCTTCCCCCCCCCTTCCAGAGCGAGAGCGGCCGGCCCCGGCCCCGCGGCCTTCCCGCACCGCTGCAGCCGCTGCCCGGCGCCCGCCGTGCCAGCTCCTCGGGGCCGGTTTTCAGAGGCCGCTGAGAGGAACCGGGGGCTGGGGGTAGGAGAAAAGCATCTTCCTGCAGAAACGACGACCCGGACCCCAAGTGCTTTTTATGCGCCCTTGTGTTGGTTGCCCAGATAACGTACGCAGATACCGCACTGTAGAAACTGAGTTTGCACCTGCAACAGAGGTTATTCAGATGATCAAACACCAAAAAAGAAAAAAAAAAAAAGCCTGGAGTTTTAGCTTTGGGGTTGTGTTTCCTGCTAAGGCTGTTTTTAAGGTTACAGACTTTTTATATACAGAAGAGTAGCTCTTGCAGTCTGTGTGTCTCTGAATAACTCTGCTTCAATACACCAGGTTTTTCAGATATCTAATAGAGATGTTACATGCACAAATATGGAAGTGTATGTAACAGCCATTAAAAATTTATTAAAATATTAAGCTGTTTTCCTTACTGTTACCAACACGGTTCAATATAGTTTCACAGGGCACCTCAACACACATCCCTCTATATATGAATATACACATCTATAATGTGCAGTAAATTGAAGACAAACTATCTAAATTATCAAAATTCCCCATCACAAATACAGGATTAAATTCTAGATCACTTAATTCAGTCAATTTTATCACTGAGTTTTGACTACAAACAGCAAAACTTACCCTTGAATTACCATTTCAAAATCATCTCTACGGGCTCTCTGAAATTCCCCCTTTTCTTCTCCTTCCTCACAAGGCACTCCTCGACAGTAGCCAAACTGACACATCAGAAGGTGACTAACTCTTGCAAGTTTTCCTCTGTATAACCAACATTTGTATAATTTGGGTAGTAGCCAAATTTGACTCTGTATTACAGTCTTTCAATAAAGTCAAAGCAAAGAAAATCATATGACATTAAGAATAAGCTAGTAAAATACTGACACATAAGGCTATCAAACAGATTTGCAACTAAAAATGAGAAAATAGCCATCCTGTCTCTTTACATGAAGAACACAGACAACAATAAATTAACTAATACAAAGTTTCTTCCCACCCTGTCCTCTATCATCCCATGTCTGTAGTTTTTGCTTCTTTTTAAATGGCATTTAAACTATGGCACTGACTTTAATTTAAGATGGCACATCTTTACTTTAGTCATCCCAGCTCCCCGGGTCATGCCTGCTGTACAGATCATTACTCTGCCAAAACCCACCAAAACATGATTGCCCCCCCAAATTCAGCTCTAAACCTTTGCTGTGTCCTTTTCCCAGGCATGCCCCAGAGCTATCAACACTGGACTCTCACATATGCCATCTTTTACAACTCGTAAGTTTAGCAGGGAATGAGAATGAAATGGTAAAAACAGTTCACTTATTCACTTGGAGAAGGGGGAGGGGAAAAAAAAAATCAGGCAAGTATTTCTTGTTAATATTCTGATGGCTATAAGAAGTTCATTAAATCCAGATCTGAGGAAAAAAAAATAACATTACTTAAGACTCAAGATAAAATTGGGTGCCAATGATACAAAGGTCTATTTTTCTGATAATAGCTACATCTTAGTTCTCCAGGTTCATAAAATGAAAGGCTTCTATAAAAGACAGGATATTTTGTTCTTCATGAAAAGAGTAAGCATGACTCAAAAGATCCTACCCTGGGACCTAGAAATGGCTGCCCAGAGAAATGAGGTTTAAAAATCACAAATTCAAGGCACTGAGTCCAAGAATATTGAACGGACATGATAATTGTGCTACAATATACTATCACTATTTTTTTTAAACTACTGCACCATTTTCAGTTTTCTAAAGATGCAGTTATCATGTTTAAATAAGACTGACAGGTTTATACTTTTATTATACTCAGACCATCAAAAATGGAGTATACTTACATAACTCACACCTCATTAAAATTTTAAAGCTTTGCTTTTTTTCCTGTTATCAGGATGGTAACACTGCTCCATGCCACAGTTTTTTCTTGAATCCATGGTTTATCTATGTAATTTCATACACATACTAGAAATGCAGGAAATCTCATGCTCCAACTGTCATTTCTCCATCTCAGACTGACTGAGAAACACTGACCCAACAAAGAAAAAAAGATTAGAATAGGACTGGAGTGTGCCATTTGATGGGTTTTTTTCGTTGTTGTTGTTTTTGGGGTTTTTTTTTTTAGAAAGCACATGTGGTACTTCAAACCACAATAAAATATTTTAGAAACTAAGTCAATGGCTTCAGGAATAGGACTGTAAGTAGCAAGAAAGGTGACTTCAGGTCAACGAAGATAAAGCCACGTGTATGTTGTTAACAGACAAGAGCTTGCACAAACTTACCCAGCCATCAATAACCACAGATGTGAATAAACAGACATTAAAACTACTAAGAGGTTTAATTGCTACATACAGTCTGAGGGAGGAAATGAAATTACAGACACAGCATAAATAACAGCAACTCTGTATAGTATATATAACTCCAAAGAAGTGCCAAGACAGACAATATATATAATTTTTTTTTTTTTTTTTTTTACACATAGACAAGATAATTAAATACTGTTTTCCATGCACAGGACTCCTGAACATTTACTGAGAAAAAATACCAGTAATTAACAGGGCAGGGGGGGTTACAACCCTAAAACCAACCAAACAAAAAGCAGTGTTGTGGTGAATTTTTGGGACCGGTAAGAGAAAATATATGGAAAAGAAGATCTAGTTAGAAACTGTAAAAGGTCTTTAAAGCAGAACACTATGGTGAAATCCTAGTAGCTTTGACAGGGTATTAAAGCAGAACGGAACAAGACCAACCCATCTAAGCACTTCCTTAAAGCCTGTTCTTACAGCTTTTAATCCTGTGGGCAAGGGAGGAAAGATGAAGGGATAAAGAGCTTTTAGGTCTTGCCTTGTATTAAGTGACATACCAGCAACTGGAAAACAAAACACTCTTTACACAAAGAGGTGAAAGCAAACTACCAGAGCAGACTCAGTAGCCTGGTCAGAAGTCACGTAGAAGCAGTATTTTTGCTGCTTTCAGAACAGGCTAACACTTCTTATTGCAGATGCTTTACTATTAATGTTATACTATTTGCTCATCATCAAAAACCCTCTTGCAACATGTAACTGCCCCTAGGAAA